ACGCAAGATCCGGGCGGGAGCTCAGGGGTTCCCGATCAAGGTGGTCGTCCCGATAATGGTTTGCTGGATGTTGCACAGGAAGGCCACAGAGAACCAAACGGCACAGGCAGAGCCGCTGTCCGTGGTGACCACAACACCAGCCCCGCATCTGGAACGAAGGAAGTCCCGATGAGTGCAGTCACGGTGCCAGCTGCCGGAATGGGTGGGCCGCCCCCGCTCTTCCCTCACCAGTCCTTTCCGTCTGCGGAAGCCACCCCAGGCCTTTCCACTACTCAGGGAAGGAGAGAGGAAAGCGAGGATCCCGATTACATCACGAGCTCACGCAGTAACGAAAAGGACCAGACCGGCACGGAGGGTCCCCAGATCCACCAGCTCTATCCCAGCGGTGTTAAGCCCAGAGAGGAAAGCCCAGCCACGGCCACTTCTGTGTACCAGGAGGCCACAGTCGGACGTGGAAACGAGGTGCCTGGATCTTCCCCATCGAGCTCATTAGATCGTCCGTCCTCTACGGAGCCCAGCGTTTGGGAGCAGAAAGTCACCTCCCCCGGCCGTCTCCCTCCGTCGCTGCCCACGCCAAGACAGGAGAAGGCCAATGAAATAAAGGCGGAATTGGACACCAAGTTCACATCTTCCCACAAGGACCAAGAACTGTACAGAAAGAGCAACACAGTGCTGGGCAAAAACTCGCCCAATGGCGTCCAGTGGACGTTCACCGACAGCGACGGAGTCCTTGGGCCCCGCCTCAACACTGAGAAGCAACAGGAAGTGGAAGGGGAGGAGGCGTCCTCCTTGGCACCGTCTGCGACCGTCACACCCGTCCCCGGGGCCCGCTGGGAAGCCGGAAACTGGAGTGAGGCAAGTGAAGCACGTGCAGCCCCAACCACGGGTCCTTCCCGGTCCAGCAGACCCACTCTCTTGCCATCGGGCGGGGCTTTCCCTTGGGGTACGTGGCTCGTGCCACTCTTTGCTCGGCAGGTGTTTGTGGGGAGCTTCCCCCTCATTTGCTCTCCTTCCCTGCTTCCATCGCCAGCTGCTCTAGAGCAGGGGTGTCAAACATGCGGCCCGGGGGGCCAGATCTGGCCCTCGAAGGGCTACAATCCAGCCCGTAAGGCCCTGGCTGTTTCCTCCTGCTTCCTTTTCCAGTTCTGCTGCTGCTACATCACAGCTGACTTTACCAGACTCTCTCAGTCACACAGGAGAGATAGATAGGCAAAGCCTCTCCTGTGCGATTGAGAGAGTCTGGTAAAGCACTGGCTGCGGCTCCTCCCCCTCCTCCTCCCAGAGGGAGGGAGGGAACCAGCCAGAGTTTGCTTCCTGGCCAGGTTGCCTCAATCGTATACAGGAGACATGTTTTATTTAAAGTTTTCAAAAAATCTTTAATTGTGTTTGTCTGTGTCCTTTATAAAGTTTATATCTCCGCTACCTGGCATTCTATTTTATATCACACGTGGCCCGGCCCAACAAGGTCTCATTTATATCAGCTCCGGCCCTCATAACAAATGAGTTCGACACCCCTGGGCTAGAGTCTTCGAGGGGCAGCTCGGGGGACTGGATCGGATGTTCTTTTCGCTCCGGAGCCCCTGCCTGTCTTTCTGGGCCTCGGAGGCTAACAGAGCTTTGGCGGGAGAAGCTGGGAAAAGCCAACGGGGGTTTAGGAAAGGAAAGGTGAGACGTTCGTGGTCAGTGGCCTCGCATGAGACCCTGTCTCCCTTGACTCTGGTAGAACTGAGTGGGGATGGGTGCCAGTTTGGTGCAGTGGTTAAGTGCACGGACTCTGATCTGGGAGAACCGGGTTTGATTCCCCACTCCTCCACTTGCACCTTCTGGATGACCATGGGCAAGTTGTAGTTCTGACAAGAGCTGTTCTTGAAAAAGAGCAGTTTCTGTCAAGAGCTCTCTCAGCCCCACCTACTTCAGGGGGTGTCTGTTGTGGGGAAGGAAAAGGTAAGGAGTTTGTAAGCCACTCTGATACTCCCTTGGGTAATGAAGGGCAGGGTATACATCCAATCTCTTCTTCTCTCTGCTCAGTGTTCTCTGAGAGCCAGTTTGGTGTAGTGGTTAGGTGTGCGGACTCTGATCTGGGAGAACCGGGTTTGATTCCCCACTCCTCCACTTGCACCTGGCTGGATGACCTTGGGCAAGCCGTAGTTCTGACAAGAGCTGTCCTTGAAAAAGAGCAGTTTCTATCAGAGCTCTCTCAGCCCCACCCGCCTCACAGGGTGTCTGTTGTGGGGACTGGGGAGGGGAAAGGAGTGTGTAAGCCGCTCTGAGACACCTTTGGGTAGTGAAGGGTGGGGTATAAATCCAATCTCTTCTTCTTCATCTTCTCTCTAAGCTGAGTTAGTGTGAGCCAGCTCACAGTTTTTTAGCCTCCGGCTCACAGATTTTTGTCTTCGCTCAGGAAGGAGGGCTCTAGAGCAAACAAATTTCTGCAGCAGCCAAATCGCTCGCTCGCCACTTTAATGGCAGTAGCTCACAAAGTAGAAATGTTGCTCACAAGACTCCGCAGCGTGGAGGGAGCCTTGGTGCTGACGGTTCTTCTTGGTTCCAGTGCTCGACCACCTGTGGCCTGGGTGCCATTTGGAGGACGGTGCGGTGCAGCTCCGGCGTGGAAGCAGACTGCGGCGCCACCAGGAAGCCCATCCCTGCCCGCAGGTGTTACTTAAGACCATGTTCTTCCTGGCACGTTGGCAACTGGAGCAAGGTAGGCAGTCTGAGAGACGGCCATGGAGAAAGGCTTTGTGTTTTTGACGCTTCTGTTCCCTTGTCCGAACCCTTCTGTCCTCCCAGCTCTTCTTCCCCGCCCTTCTTTCTCCTTCTAGATGTACACTGAACACTGGCCAAAACTTTAGCAAAAATAGAATAATGGATTGCTCAAGAGAACCCGCGGCATGCAATTAGGAGTTGGATTCCTTCCCCGGCACAGGCAACGTCGCCAGTTTGGGATTTCTGTTCAGGGTGGGCAAGACGGCAGACCCTTCTCCGCCTGAAGATTGGCGGTTTCACTTATTTGGGGTCCAGTCTTTTTTTAGTCCTATCCCTCCATCCTTTTACTCACGGTATCATTACATTTTGTGGAAATGGGGTTGCCTTGCGACCATGCGTGGTGGGTTTCGCCACCATCTGCGGTGATCCTGGGAATGGATCCCCCGTGAATAGCGGGGGTCTGCTGAGCTGAGGAAGATAGTGTGGGATCCGATGTTTCCAGGGTTCCAAACTAACAGTGGGCTGGCGCTTCGAGGTCAGGTACCAGAACCGAGGCAGGCAGACTGACTCTGAGATCCGTCACGTGGACGGCGCTGCTTGTTCAGCCGTCACGGCACTCTTTGCCTGGTTTGTCCCCCAGTGCTCCAGGACCTGCGGAAGTGGCGTGAAGGTTCGGGACCTCAGCTGCATCGACACACGAGACCTGCGGCCTCTTCGTCCGTTTCACTGCCAGGCCGTCCTCTATAAGCCCCCGGCCAAGATGCCCTGCCAGACCCAAGACTGCCTGGACTGGTACACCTCGTCCTGGAGGGAGGTGAGTGCCTGTGAGCCTAGCCCAGAGCACTTGAGTGCCAGTCGAGCTGCTTGGGACCGGCATATGTCTTAAGGGTGCCCAAGAACTCACATGAGGTCAGAGCGGTGAATCCCAGAATCATTGCAATGTTACAGAGGCGTCTGGCCGCAAACAACGCCCACCAAGGGAAGACCATCCACAAGTCACCACTATATGTGCTCAAAACTGTAGGCTGCAATCATTGAAATACCCAACAGAGTATATGGACACTTACCCAACAGACTGCTCATAACAATTAAGCATACTTTACAAAAAGAACGTATTCAAAACCAACAGTAGGCTTCTCTGTAGTTCCATACATATGTAATTCCGTTCACATTCCATAGTGTGGGTTGACCTCCAAACAGAAGGTCACTGCACTGCGTCAAGACGTTTCAGTGATCTTCAACAGTGGCTGGTAGAACAGAACCCGATTTCCAAAATAACTCAGTAGCGTCAATGGAGTCCTGGGGTTCCCAAGAGTGAGGTGTGGCCTGGAACTCTGTGGTCCACAATATCCTTGTTTACTGTTATGTGGAAGGCAAAAGGAACTCCGACGCATCCCACCGCATCAAAACTTTCCACATGGGACCAAATCGGCCATTATCTTGTCCAGCTTCCACCAGGCCTGTTGGGCGGCATTTCTTCATATCAGATTCCTTTTTTGACATTGTAGATATATCCCTGAGCATCCACCGGGTGGAAATGTAGCTCCCTTCCCCAATCTTGGAGCCCCCAGCCCCAATCCCCGCTGTCTCTTTGTTTATTCAGAAAAAAATTATGCCACCACTCCAGACCTGCTTGAAGAGGCTCACAGTAAAAGAGTGGAATAAATGTAAAGGTAAGGGATTCCCTGGCTCAAAAGCCAGTCGAATCTGACTCTAGGGGGTGGTGCTCATCTCCATTTCCAAGCCAAAGAGCCAGCGCTGTCCAAAGACACTTTCGTGGTCATGTGGCCAGCATGACTAAACACCAAGGCGCATGGAACGCTGTTACCTTCCCACTGAAGCGGCTCCTATTTATCTACTTGCAATTTCTTGCTTTCGAACTGCTGGGTTGGCAGGAGCTGGGGCCAGAGAGGGGAGCTCACTCCGCCACGCGGCACTAGAGGGTCTCAAAACTGCCGAACTACCGACTTTCCGGCCTGCAGCTCAGCGTCTTAACCTTTGGGCCATAACAGTAAAAACAAGAAAGAACAGACCGTACCAATAAGAACAAATAACATCAATGAAAACATGCCCGTAAAAAGCGAGCCAGCGCATAAAAGCCTTTAAAACAGAGCCGCTTAGAATGATGCTGGCAGACGGGTCCTCTATCTAGGATCCAACCACGATGGCTTAAAAATAACAGGAATGAAAAGAAATACAGGAAGGCAAGCGTGGATGTTTCCATGTTGTGTTTCTGACTGTTCTAAAACAAAACCATTCGGTGTGATTCAGCACCAAAGCCTGCAATGCGGCATTATTGTGCTGTATTCCTGGGACTGAGGGCATCCGCTGCTTCGCTTGCCGGCTGAGGAGCCCATGACAAGCCTCCGCTAAAACGAAGCCTGCAGGATCTGGGCTCAGGAGGAGCTAAAACTGAGTGAGGCGATTGTAATTCTCTTTGCATGTAATTGGCAGATTCTGCAAAGGGGCTGAGCGGTCTTTCAAAGTTCCTTCCTTTCCTTTACAAAGCAGCGTGGCCACAAAACGTCTAACAGTGACTATCGTTGGCCGGAGCACAGGCAAAGTCAGGGAATGGGGCCGGCCAGCCTGCGGTCAGGTTGGTGCCTCCTGCCCAGAGTGAGAGAGCCACGGGGCTTGCAGATGCGCTACCTTATGGCCTGGAGCAGAAAGTCCTTGCCTAGGGGAAGCTGACAGGAGAGAGGCCCGGGAAGCCACGGCGGGGGCTGTCCCCGAGAATCCGAGCCTCTGCATTCATCTTCCTAGTCAACTGCCGTATGACCATATAGAGTTGTCTTATATAGAATCAGAGGGGCTGTGGTGGCCCAAGTGGTTAAGATGCTGAACTGCAGACCGGAAGGTCAGTAGTTCAGCAGTTCGAGACCTGAGTGCCACAGGACGGAGTGAGCTCCCGTCTCTGGCCCCAGCTCCTGCCAACCTAGCAGTTCGAAAGCAAGAAATTGCAAGGAGATACATAGAAATAGGTACCACTTCGGTGGGAAGGTAACGGCGTTCCCTGCGCCTCGGTGTCTAGTCATGCCGGCCACATGATCACGGAAACATCTTCGGACAGCGCTGGCTCTTCGGCTTGGAAACGGAGATGAGCACCGCATCCCTAGAGTTGGATTCGACTGGCTTTCGAGCACAGGAAACCTTTACATTTACTATATAGAATCAGACCCTCGGGGTCCGTCAAGGTCAGTCTTGTCTACTCAGACTGGCAGCGGCTCTCCAGGGTCCCAGGCAAAGAGGTCTGTCAAGTCACCTAACTGGAGATGGCGGGGATTGAACCAGGCGCCTTCTGTATGCCAAGCAGAGGCTCCTCCACTTGCTTAGCTGCCTGTCTCTTTCTGGCCAGTGTTCCGAGCTGTGTGGAGGAGGAGAGCAAGAGCGCCTGGTCACCTGCCCAGAGCCCGGGAGGTGCGACGAAGCCCTCCGGCCCAACAACACGAGACTCTGCAACACCCACCCCTGCACCAAGTGGACGGTGGGATCCTGGGGGCAGGTGAGGCAGCCTGTGGAGGGGAGGGGGCAGACGCCTGGTGGGAATGAATCCTCCCGAGCAGCGCCCAGTTCCCGGGCAGCCTTGCCCATGGGGGCAAAGCGCCCTCTGGCCCGGCCGTGTCGTGGTGGGCTCAGCGCTTTCCATCCCTGCAGTGCACGGCCACGTGTGGCGGAGGCGTCCAGAGGAGGCAAGTGAAGTGTGTGGACGTGAAGACTGGCGAGGCGGAAGAGGACAGTGGCCGGTGCGATCACGAGCAGCGGCCAGAGAAGACCCAGAAGTGTGGTCTCCAAAACTGCCCCCACAGTGAGCCAGGTGAGTCGCGCAGCCCTGTGGCGCGTGAGGCGCATGACCCCGGGGGTGGTGAGGGGGTGAGTCCTCTAGAACTCTGCCTGACCAGCCCCTCACCCCTGGCTTGCTGCTGCCTGCCGTGTGGTACAAACGTGCTGGCACCTGAGGCAGTTGGCCAGTGGAGGAGCAGTGCGGGCAGTTCAAGAGGCTGTCAGGAACCTTAGGCAGGTAGTCCACACACCCAGGCTTCTTCAGAAGATAAGTGTTTATTATGGTAACGCAGAACTAAAGTACATGTATACAGCTTGTGTTAAGAATGCCTTGTAATACAATGGCTACTAACTTATAGAATATTCAAACAGCCCCCCCCCCCCACCTGCAAACCCTAACCCTGCCAGCAAGCAAGCAATTTTGCGCCCAAAGCAGTTACAGTTCCCAGGCCTGGGGAATTACAGCAAAGCATCTTCAAGGCCAACGTGCAGATAGCGGGAGCGCTAGGCAGAGTTATTTTGGGTGTCCTTGCAGGGCCCGCTGTTCCTTTAGGCTGTTGATGGCAGTTTCCAGCGTCCAGGGCCTCCTCCCTTTTAAGCAGCCGATGTTCTTCATTGGTGGCGGCAGTGGCGTTTTACAGGCCCTGCGGAACATTCTTTGCCATAATGAAAGGGGGGCAGCGTGTGCCCCCTCCCTCCCCTCCTGCAAGATTTAAAGGCCCCTTCAGCTGATCAGCGCAGCCCACCGATCCGCTGGAGGGCTCTTTAAATCGTGCAGGAGGGGAGGGAGAGGGGCGTGCACGCCCCCCCCCCCCCCCCCCCGCCGCCCCCCCCCCCGCCGCCCGCCGGCCGCGTAGTATTGGGGGGGGGGGGATGTCCCAGGGGTGGTTGACCCTTGTGTGTGTGAAGTGCCGGATCCTGACTTACGGCAGCCCAATGAACCAGTGACCGCTACAACACCCTGTCTGTAACCGCTTTGCCAAGGTCTTGCAAACTGAGGGCCACGGCTTCCTTTGCACTGAGATATGACTGTTTCCTCCCAAGGACGGAGCAGCCCGGAGCGTTAAGGGTGTGTGTGTGTATGCAGAGGGGCTGGCCTGCGGGCTCCCTCTCCAGCCTGCCCCCTCCCCCAAGTCTCGGGCCTGTGGAAGAGGCAGTGTTCCCTCTAAGCTGAGTTAGTGTGAGCAGGCTCACAGTTTTTTAGCCTCCAGCTCACACATTTTTGCCTCAGCTCAGGGAGGAGGGCTCCGGAGCAAACTGATTGATGCAGGAGCCAAATCGCTCGCTCACAACTTTAATGCCAGCAGCTCACAAAGTAGAACTTTTGCTCACAGGACTCCCCAGGTTAGACGGAGCTTTGGTTGGGAGAGTGCAGGCGATTAAGCGGCCCAGGCGCCCGCCGGCTTTGCCGTGCCCCCCCCCCCCCCCCCGCCGGGCCGAAAACGTTTTCCGGAAGGAGCATTCCGGGCCCTTTAGGAGGGGGGGGGTTGTGGGCGGGGGAGGCCAGGCAGGGCATGAATGACGACTGGAATTGATGCTGGATGGAGCCCCAGGTTGGGGGGCGGGAGATTTTGATTTTGTGCTGCTCTTGCCAAGTTATCGCCAGTTGGGGAATGTGTGACGCAGCGGCAGCAGCAGGAACCAGGCCAGAATGAAGCCGGGACTCTGCATCTGTGTGGTTAACTGTAGGTCCTGGCGCCAGCTCTTGGCTTGATGTACTCTGACTGACCTTCGATTTAATGGAGGGGTTGGTGAGTCACATTGGAGCTGCCCGGGAATCGTCTCCCCGTCACTCGGCGTGTCTCGCCATACCTCCCTTTTAGGACAACAACACCACACAGGCGTCCGTCCACAGCGAATGCTCTGCCCAGCCTATGAATAAAACCACTTCTCATCAGGGGCCGGAAAGGTGACAATAATATCGTGGCAGAGAATGCCAGGAAGGAATCGCCGGTTGGGGGAAAAGGGGGGTAGGTGAAGCAGCTGCAGTCTGTCCAGGAGCTAAACTGGACAGGGAGCAGGCAGAAACTTGTCAGAGGCCACAATGTGGGAGCCCAAATCACCAGAATCAAAACACCTAGTTTGCTACGGGCTGTCCCCACCTGGCCAGTTTCTTTCTGTCACTACCTGGCTTTCTCATTCTGCAGTGAATTCAGTGGAACTCGGTGGTGTGTGTGTGTGTGTGTGTGTGTGAACTTATTGTAGCACATGGGGGGGGGATATCCTGCCATCGTCCTGTTAAAAAGTAATGGAAAGGAACGCCTTCCCGGCCATTGTCTTGGAGGCCAGGAGGGAGAGCGACCCATCCAGGGGAGACAGGGAAGGTATCTCATCAGAGCTCATCGGGGAAGGGGCCAGAAGAAGACGACGACGAAGAAGAGGAGGAGGAGGAGATTGGATGTATACCCCACCCTTCACTACCTGAAGACGTCTCAGAGTGGCTCACAATCTCCTTTCCCTCCCCACCCCAGACGCCCTGTGAGGCAGGTGAGGCTGGAAGAGTTCTTTTGAGGACTGCCCGTGATAGAAACAGCTGTGCCAGAGCTTGTGACTGACCCAAGGTCACACCAGCAGCTGCGTGTGGAGGAGTGGGGGAGTCAAACCCGGTTCTCCCAGATTAGAGTCCGCGCACTTCACCACGGCACCAAACCGGAGCACGAGCGTTAACCCTTATTTAATCCTGGATGGTTTTAGTTAGGACCCCATAAAGAAGCTTCGCTCCAATTTTATGCTCAAACACTTTTAGGGCCGCAGGAACATACTGATTACCCTTGGCATTTGTTTAAGCTTAGTAGCAATCCTGAGTAGCGATTTTAAATTTCAGTTTAATGTTTTTAATGTATTTTGTCCTGTGCTTTATATTTACGTTTGTAAGCTGCCTTGAGTTCCCCAAGGAAGAAAGGCTGCTAATAAATGTTTTCAATAAAAAAACCAGCAGAATCCTGACGTGGCAGAGGCCACCCATGACCACTGTGTGGAAACAAGGTTTGCACCGCAACGCCCCCCTCCCTGAGCGGCAGGACGGGAAAGAGGCACAGCTGGCTTGAGGAGGGACCGAGCAGGAGGAGGCCCCCCGTGATCCGGCACAGGCCCAGGCCCGGCTGGAGGAACACAGTCCCCTCCAACTCCTTAGACTCCTCTCTTGCCACTTGTGTGAGACAGAAGCCGCTCTTCCTAAAAATAGCACTGGACATCTGGCAGGAAGAAGCGGTGTCACTTGGTGCAGCTAATCAGACGCTGAGCCGGCCTTGGACAGTGTTTTGCATTCTGGAATGCTGCGGTGGGAGAAGGGCTCCCAGGTGCTTAGAGACAGACCCCCGGCCCCTCCAGCCCTCAGAAGGCCACGGAAAGGAAGAAGAAGAAGAGATTGGGTTTATACCAGTGTTCCCTCTAAGCTGAGTTAGTGTGAGCTAGCTCACAGTTTTTTAGGCTCCAGCTCACACATTTTTGTCTTAGCTCAGGAAGAATAGCTCCAGAGCAAACTACTTTATGCAGTAGCCAAATCATTCGCTCACAACTTTAATGCCAGTAACTCACAAAGTACAATTTTTACTCACAAGACCCCACAGCTTAGAGGGAACATTGGTTTATACCCCATGGCCCTTCACTACCCAAAAGTGTCTCAGAGCGGCTTACAAACCTCCTTTCCCTTCCCCTCCCCACAACAGACACCCTGTGAGGTAGGCGGGGCTGAGAGAGCTCTTGACAGAGACTGCTCTTTTTCAAGGACAGCTCTTGTCAGAACTAGGGCTTGCCCAAGGTCATCCAGCCAGGTGCACGTGGAGGAGTGGGGGGAATCAAACACGGTTCTCCCAGATTGGAGTCCGCGCACTTCACCACGACACCAAACAGCCTCAGAGAGGAGGAAGTGGGGGGGGGGGGG